CAATCTCCGAACTTGTCTCTCTAGTATAGCAATGGGAGCTTCCTCATATGATAGCTGCTCTGTGACCTGAACATTGTCAACTGGAATGACTCTAGAAGGATCTCTAATACACTTACGGAGCATAGACACATGAAAAACTGGATGTACTCACTCCAAGTTGGAAGGCAAGTCTAACTCATATGCTACCTAGCCTACTCTGCGTATGATCTTATAAGGTCCAATGTACCGAGGGCTAAGCTTTCCTTTCTTACCGAATCTCATAACGCCTTTCATCGGTGATACCTTTAGGAATACCCAATCATTTATCTGAAACTCCAAGTCTCGTCATCGATTATCTACATAGGACTTCCGACGACCCTGAGCTGCTAATATCCTTTCCCTTATAAGCTTAATCTTCTCAACTATCGATTGTATCAACTCTGGTCCTACTAACTTAGTTTCCCCAATCTCAAACCATCCGATAGGAGACCTACACTTCCATCCATACAGAGCTTCGTATGGAGCCATCTGAATGCTGGAATGATAACTATTATTATATGCGAACTCAATAAGTGGAAGATGATCATCCTAGCCACCCCTAAAGTCCATCACACAAGCCCGTAGCATATCTTCCAGTGTCTGAATAGTACGCTCAGGATGACCATCTATCTAGGGATGAAATGTTGTACTATGACTTACCTGAGTCCCCAATCCTTTTTGGAAGGACCTCCAGAAATTAGCTGTAAACTGAGTACCTTTATGTGAGATAATAGATATAGGGATACCATGAAGTAGTACTATCTCCTTAATATAAAGCCTTGCTGCATACGTAGTCCTGACAGGAAGAAAATGGGCTGATTTTGTAAGTCTATCAACAATAACCCATATAGAATCGAACTTACGCTGGGTACGAAGTAAGCCTATGATGAAATCCATATTAATCACTTCTCATTTCCAAGTCGGAATCTCTATAGCCTGCAATAATCCATCGGGTTTCTGATGCTTAATCTTAACCTACTGACAATTAGGGCGCTGAGCAACAAACTCTGATATATCCTTCTTCATTTCGTCCCACCAGTATATTTCCCCGATATCATGATACATCTTTGTCACTCCTGGATGAATAGAATAACGAGAATAGTGAGCTTCTCCCATAACCTACTGGCGCAACCATGCCACATTAGGAACACATAATCGAACTCGATATCTGAGCATTGCATCTCCTGTAATCTCAAATGGTGTATTCTCCTTTTGAGGGGATGTATCTCTGTAATGATCTAGCACAGGATCCCTATACTGGCGTTCCTCACTTCAGTTACTAAAGAGGATGTTGTCGTGTCCTGAATAGTAACTCTGGTATCACCTAAGTCCAGCAATCGAACTCCAAGACTAGCTAGCTGATGAATATCATGGGCTATCCCACTCTTCTATGGATGTAAATATGACAGGCTACCCATAGATCTACGGCTGAGGGCGTTGGCTACTACATTCGCCTTCCCCGGATGGTATAAAATATCAATGTCATAGTCTTTCAGTAGATCCAACCATCTCCTTTGGCGTAAATTCAATTCATTTTGCTTGATGATATATTGAAGGCTATTATGATCCGTATAGATATCAACATGAATGCCATACAAATAGTGCCTCCACATATTTAGTGCAAGAATCACCGCGGCTAACTCTAAATCGTGGGACGAGTAATTCTTCTCGTGCCTTCTCAGTTGCCTTTAAACATAAGCAATTACTTTCCCTGGTCATTCTTCCACTTGTTGCATGAATACATGGCTAATCTCATTGCCCATGAATATTGGAATTTCCTATAACTCATAAGATCTCAAATATCACCTTTTGAATTTTTTCTTCTTCCCGTTCATTAGCCATGATAGGTTCCACTTTCTTATGAAGTACATACAATGTTATAGTGAGACTGTTGTTACATGACCATTTCCTCTTTAGGTCACTGTGCTTAGGTTTAAGCCTTCTTCCTTATTTCCTCGGATAATCTTTCGTGGTAGTACCCAGTTCCGAGACGTGGGTCTGGGGAGACTTTTTGGGGGGGATTTTCTATTTTCTCGATTTAGCTTTGATTTCATTAACTAGATTAGTTTATTATAGTTATTTTTATGATATGTAATTGATTTTTGCTAGATTTGGGCCATTTTGAGTCGAATATTTGTGGAAAAAGTATTGTTACAGATTGATTTGAGTTTGGTTCGAGGTAAGTGGCTTGGCTAACCTACTGGCGCAACCATGCCACATTAGGAACACATAATCGACCTCGATATCTGAGGACTCCATCTCCTGTAATCTCAAATGGTGTATTCTCCTTTTAAGGGGATGTATCTCTGTAATGATCTAGCATAGGATCCCCATACTGGCGTTCCTCACTTCAGTTACTAAAGAGGATGTTGTCGTGTCCTGAATAGTAACTCTGGTATCACCTAAGTCCAGTAATCGAACTCCAAGACTAGCTAGCTGATGAATCTCATGGGCTATCCCACTCTTCTCTGGCTGTAAATATGACAGGCTACCCATATATCTACGGTTGAGGGCGTCGGCTACTACATTCGCCTTCCCCGGATGGTATAAAATATCAACGTCATAGTCTTTCAGTATATCCAACCATCTCCTTTGGCTTAAATTCAATTCCTTTTGCTTGAAGATATATTGAAGGATTTTATGATCCGTATAGATATCAACATGAATGCCATACAAATAGTGCCTCCACATATTTAGTGCAAGAATCACCGTGGCTAACTCTAAATCGTGGGTCGGGTAATTCTTCTCATGCCTTCTCAGTTGCCTTTAAATATAAGCAATTACTTTTCCTGATCATTCTGCCACTTGTTGCATGAATACATGGCTTATCTCATTGCCCATGAATACTGGAATTTCCTGTAACTCATAAGATCTCAAATATCACCTTTTGAATTTTTTCTTCTTCCCGTTCATTAGCCACGATAGGTTCCACTTTCTTATGAAGTACATAGAATATTGTAGTGAGACTGTTGTTACATGACCATTTCCTCTTTAGGTCACTGTGCTTAGGTTGAAGCCTTCTTCCTTATTTCCTCGGATAATCTTTCGTGGTAGTACTTAGGGAAGACCCTCTGACTCTTGTAAATTTGCGAGCTTATTATATCGTATACCCGGAAGAACTTTTTTTATGTTCTTACTCGCCTATAATTATCCTTAGTTACTTACCTCTGTGCCCTTGTGCTCGTAGGTTACTTCTGAACTGAAATTTTTGATTATCTCCCTAGTGGCACTCTCTTTTATTTTCGTAACACTTATACGTACCTTTAATTACCCCAACTCCTATTTGAATATTTCTCAAGGGTTACGACATCATATCTGCGAGACAGAATTTACTAACTGGCACACTTAGTCCCTTAAGCTTAACTCTGCTCACAGTTCTTTCTTTAGGGAAGCGTCTTCCTGAATGGCCTTTAAAGGTTATTCTTTTGTTGTCCATTCAATTATCGTAGGAACGCGATCTCTGAAATTCTCACGATGTCGACTATTATTAAATCCTTCAGTCCCGAATTCAGGATCAGTTTATCTTATTCACTAGCCCATACTAATTTTTATTACTCCGTGGGTCTAACTTTTCCTTTTGGTAATCACATATGAGTCACCAACTCATTTCTCGAAATGGGGACATCACTTTATGGCTTATACTTTTTTATTTTCTCAAGGCCTGTAACCTCTTGTCTTTTCCTTCACTTGACTATAGAATCTGTAGTCCTATCATATTTTGATTTACCGTTATCATCTATTTATCACATCTTACTCAGAATGCTTCATTTACTTTCTTCTTATTCTCCTGCTAATATTTCTGTCTATCACCTTATTATGAAAACTTCAACAAAATATTCTTTCACTTTTATCCCCCTTGATTCACCTCACTGGCTCTTAGGGTCACCTAACACTCTCTTTTTACTAGGGACGGAAGCCATACAAAGGTAAATATTTATCCCTTCTAAGATTCCAATGCCAATCTTCTGAAATTTCTGAACATTTTATTATTCATATCTGATTGTACTATTCTAGAGTGCACCATCTGGGTGTCTCACAATGAGAACTATTACCACGTTTGCAATATCCTTCGTAAATGTGAGCTAATGATAATAATCTATCCATAATTTTGGGTTACTCTAACCCCAGCTGGATGCTGATATCCCATCCTTCTCTTAAATTATATATGATAGCTCCCACAGGGCATAATTGAAATGGGTGTTTTCAAGTGAATATATCTTTGTTATTGTTGAAAGTAACTCAAAATGCTTATATTTCTCTGCCTGAATTGTAAATACAGATAATCTTCACTATCTGGGTTCCTTGTATCCTTCTTCACCTAGATTTTTTTACTTGTTGAAACTTGTATCTACCTTCTGATTCTCTCGTTGATTTTTACCATAGGGGTGGATAGATATTCGTGTCTTAGGGCTCCTTATCAAGAAGCTTACATGTCGTAGTACACATATAATCTACTGAAGACCTTACATTTACTCATCATAAGCATGACGCAAAATTGAGTTCCTCTGACTCAACTCTTCCACAACCACATTCAATCTCTTACCAACTATCTTTTTGGATGTAGATGTCATTGTATAATGAATAATATAGAATTTAGGAGTCTAAATTTCTTACAACTGAGCTCTACCACACGATCTAGAGTAAGAAGAAAGAGTGACAATCCTAAATGCCATGTAGCCTCTTGCTTTTAAGTGTGGTGTATAACACACCCATAAAGAAGATTCTACTATACACGCTCGGTAGACTCCCTAAAAAAGAACTGCTCTGATACCACTTTTGTCACGACCCAAATCACAGGGCCGCGACGGGCACCCGATACCTTATACAACTGAGTACCAACGTAACATATCTTTCTTATCATACTGTCATGGGTAAGTGGGCCAGAAGGGCCGTCATGAGATAATCGGAATAAAACATAAGGGAATATTAGACATTGGATGACCCAATATGATATAAAAACTTATACATGTGACATACGGGCCTATAAGGTCGACATGATCGTTTGTACACTCAAAACATAAGCCAACAAGGCCATACAATCATCTATATATATGGCATCTATATACAAGAATCTAAGAGTACATAAACATCATAAAGGTCGGGACAGGGACCCGCCATACCAATCAATACATCTCCAAATCATACTATCCCCTTATGCACGCCACCAACTGCCTTAATCCACATGTCCACGGTCTCCTCTTGAGGTGGTTGGATTGGCCTACCTTGATCATTAATTGGCTGATTTTGAATGAACTCCTCCAAGCTTCGTTTGAAAGTATCCTGTAAAAAAATTACAATTGTTATTAAAGTAAACTTTATTAAAGAAACTTTAAGGGGAAAAAGAGAGAATGCTTTGATGAGAAGAAATATTTATGTTTTTGACTAATAATTCTTATATTAGGAAAAAAGGAGATCAGAAGGAAAAAACACAAGATAAGGAAGATACATGTCATTCTCAACCTACCAAGAAACAGAAAGTAGAAAAGGCGTCCAGAAAAAGTACAAAGAGTCTTGATACACTGGACCTAACAATTTCAGTAATATACTTATATTTGATTTTTCATACATAATTTGGCCAATAAACTTATTGTTTCTATGCCATTCTGGTACTATATACTTAATATTCTTATACCAGTAAATACTCGTAATTAAGGGCATACAATATTATAATTGACAGCTAACTGTATTTTTGTATTACCTTATATCAGCGTAATATTATTATTTATTTTGTTTACAAGTTTTGAAGATATAAATTAAAACATGTTGAAGTTAAGTCCAAGTCTTTGCAATCTTGGAAGGCGACGACACAAACCAGATGGAGAGCACATTAGAGCCATTGAGCTAATTGAATCCAAAGCTCAACCATTTCAACCTCTGAAGAGTGGTTATTCCTATAGGAATATTTCCTTCCAGATTGTTGTACCTCAGATTCAAGAATCCAAGATTCTTCATGTTTGAGATAGAAAAAGGAATGAACCCACTGAAACTATTGTTTTCAATGGCGAACATTTGAAGGTCTTGTAAATCACCTAGAAATTTAGGAATTTCTCCAGTGAAGTTGTTGAAACTAAGATCAATGGCTCTCAACTTTTCCAAACGAGTGAACTCTTGTGGAAGTTCACCCTAGAAATTGTTGTAGCTTAGATCAAGAGAAATAAGAAAAGAAAGGTTGCCAAGTTGTGGTGGGATGGTACCAGTAAATCCCATACAAGAATCCCATACAAGAATGGAACAGAACAGGTAACCGATCTCATCTTCTCACTGTTCAATGGTGCTAACTAATAAAAAACCAACAATGCTAAAATCTAGTTGAACTGCAACACATGATGTATATTAATCTAACAACTCAACAGAAAAATAGAACTTTCAGGTCAAATGTGTATTAAACTGAAATTCATGCTACAAAAGATAAAACTGAAAACTTGTTACATGCATGCTAATTGATCAATCTGATCTATCCTTCCACTGAATTGTCATACACATTGAACTCTAATGTAGCAACAGTAAGCTAATTAGGCATATAGAATGAAATACCGCTCATATCAGAAGTTATTGATGACTTAGATAGCGAGGTAACTAAGAGCTTTTTCCTTCTTAATGTCCATAAACATGGGTTGTCTAAAATAAACAAATAAAGCTTTCTCCTTTTTATTTTAAACAAATAAGCTAGTTTAAAATAAAGCTCATTAATCTTACATGGGTTGTCTCAGCGCGTGAATCGACCCAAGTCATTTTTGTTTCATCCTTCAACTTCTTCATGTGGGTTTCCTCAAATACCTCATCATGAGTAACTAGTCTTCCTTTAGCCTTTTCCTAAAAAATAAATAATATCTTAAAAAATGATAACTAAAGTAGTTATAAATCAAGAAAAATATAATAAAGACATTACCAATCTTCTTCTATGAGCCGTCATACTAATTGAACTGCCCGTGTGTACTGAGCCACCCTTGTCAGACAAACGGGCTGCCCTTCCCTGGGCGCTCACAAACAGATTGCAATGTCTCTCTATAATTAACATAATATGTAAATAGATTATAATATAATATCACATAGGAAACTTACTTCAGTTTCTTAATGGTCAAAGTATATATATGGGGTGTAAGCTTAACTGCCTCCTTTATCAATATCTCCTTGTAGCAAAGAAATGATAACCTAGCAAAACAAGTTTTACAAGGAAAATTAAATCCAACTTGGATTCTCATCCAAAGGTCTGTACAATACAAAGGCAGCCTTAAACAAATATTATAGTATCCAAGGTCTCATATATAGATGCACTAGTGGGGCGTTGCCTGGGCTAAGCCCGGGCCCAAAAGTTCTTTAAAATATTTGTTACAAGAAGCAACAATAAGCAAAATAAAGAAGCAATAACATTCCACAATAACCAAATTTGAGATAAGCCGAACTGTTAAGCTTCAGCTTTTACTCTATAAGAATCTATTGTTAGGATTCTACATCTCATTTGTGACATTGTATGGAAACTTCCATATTATGCATGTATGGAACAGACTGCAATAATTATGGCTGATAACTATATACTCAATTGGGTGAGACATCTACATAAGTGCATAACATCATATATGATTTCTGCAATATCCCTGTTTCAAAATTTGCATCCTTGGCAAGGATTGTATTGAAAATATTCTGCCTTTCATCAATACTATTAGTTACGTTAACTGCTGCCGAAATGTATAAAACTGTAGAAGTTAAGGCTAAAATAGCTGACAAAATCAGAGATAGATTTAGCATATATTCACTGACAAATAGACGGAACACCAAAAGGTAAAAAGAAGTATTCCACACAAAAAAAAATGGAACAAATTGTAAACAAATATGAATATGTGTCAGCTCCATGTGCTTCATATCAACACTGATGACTTCTCACCTATATTCCTCTCTTTTTATTCTACCACCTTGTATATATTAAATATGTAAAAACAGTTAAAATTTTGTTAAGCTAAATTTTTATACATGTCATGTGAAGGTAAAAGCAAGTTAACATAAAAGTTTTTTTAAAAAAAAAAACAAAAAGAAGAAGAAAAACAGATACCACACTAACAGTGACGCATACACACACACACTATAAAAATCTAATTTTTTCAATCAAGATTCAATAAAAAATGGCTTCTCAAGTACCTAAATCTTCAAAACCTTCAAAACCCCCCAAACCATATATCTGCCATTTCAGATGCATATGACACTTCTGAAATCCAATGTCATTTTGTAAAATAAAAATTTCTAATGGACAGATATAGTCCAACCATAAGAAAATGCAAACCAAACTCAAACTTTAAAAATAAGCAAAATCTAGAAGTTCAATAAAAATTAATTTCTTTCAATAAATTCATCGAACACCTAGTATACAGATAGGTTACCTAAAGAGTTAACAAACTCAATTCTTGACCAACAAATTCTTGCATGCAGACGAATTAGAGTGAAGCAGACTCAAGCTTCAGGTGACAGTGGCAAAATCGCAAATCGGGGAAAGGGGAAAGGAGAAAGAGAAAGAGAGATTGACTTACCGATGTTGTCCCTGAAGTCTCCGAGTTATAATTCCAACACCAATCTCACCGAAATTGCTGCTGGAGTTATCGAAGAATTCAACGCTGAAGATGAAACAAATTTCAAATTTTTCTTCAATGATAATAATGAGACATTCAATTGTGCACAGATTTTGAATGAGAAAGCTGAACTGGATAAGGATGAGAACGGTGATGATGATTTTGAGTTTGCTTTTGTTAAAACAAAATCTGAAGTTTCACCTATTTCTGCTGATGAAATCTTCTATAAAGGTCACGTTTAATTTTCAACACAGATGTGGGAAATGGGAGAATGGGAGAAGTGGCTGACCTAATTAGAAGGTGGGAAATTCTTCTTCCAAGAAAATAAAAAATATACTAATATTTACTTTCCCAAAGAATATGTGGGAATATTAAAAATATTCCATATACTTTATTTAGTTTGCCACTGTTTTCCTGGGAAATTCTTTTTAATTTTATGTAATTAATTTCCAATTATTTTTCCACTGACATAGGTGGGAAACAAATCTAGCAGTTTTAGGTGCTAAACAGTTCCCATTGAGAGTTAGTGAGAACTATTAAAATTTTGGTAAAATTTTTATGTCCCCACTTTTCCACTGATTTTGTCAAATTTTTGGTGGGAATTACCATTGATATATTTTCGCGGAAAATATCTATGGGAAATTGGCATTATTCTAGTATTTATCGGAGCCTAGAAGAGTCCTTGCTTGCGTTGTATCTCAGTCGTCCTTGTTTGAGTGCATCAAGGCTCGTCAATATGATGATCACCATTTGCTTGTCCTTAAGGACATGGTTCAGTAAGGTGGTGCTAAGGTGGTGACTGTTTTGTGATGATGGTGTGTTGCGGCTGCAGGGCCAAATTTATGTTCCTAATGTGGATGGGTTTAGAGAGTTGATCCTTGAGGAGGCTCATAGTTCACGGTATTCCATTCATCCGGGCACTACGAAGATATTCTGTGATTTGAAGCAGCATTATTGGTGGCGGAGGATATAGAACGATATTGTTGGATATGTTGCTCGGTGTTTGAATTATCAGCAGGTTATGTATGAGCATAAGAGACTTGGTGTTTACTTTAGAATATTGACATACCAGAGTGGACATGGGAGCGTATCACTATGGAATTTATGGTAGGTCTGCCACGGACATTGAGGAGATTTGACGCAGTTTGGGTCATTGTGGACAGACTGGCCAAGTGTGCACATTTTATTCCAATCATGACTTCCTACACTTCAGAGTTATTGGCTAAGATCTACATCCGAGAGATTGTTCGCTTGCACAGTGTACCTGTTTCTATCATCTCTGATCGAGGTACTCAGTTTACTTTGCATTTTTGGAGAGCGGTTCAAGATGAGCTGGGCACGCAGCTTATGTTGAGCACCGGATTTCACCCTCAGATGATCGGGCTGTCCGAGCAGACATATCAAATCTTGGAGGATATGTTGAGGGCTTGTGTCATAGATTTCGGAGGCCAGTGTGATCAGTTTCTACCTTTAGCAGAGTTTTCTTACAATAATAGCTATTAGTCGAGTATCTATATGGCTACGTATGAGGCATTATATGGGAGGCGAGTTTGGTTTGAGCCGGGTGAAGATAGGCTATTGGGCATAGATTTGGTTTGGTGATTATTTGGAGAAAGTGAAATTGATTCAAGAGCGGCTTCATACATCGTAGTCTAGGCAGAAGAGTTTTGATGACAGGAAGGCTCATGATGTGGTATTCAAGGTGAGTGAGAAGGTTCTTATTCGAGTTTCACCTATAAAGAGCGTGATGAGATTTGGGAAGAAGGGCAAGTTTACCCCGTGGTATATTGGTCTTTTGGAGGTATGGGAGAGAGTAGGTGAGGTGGACTTGCTTTTCCACCCAACTTATCGGGATTTCATTCAGTATTTCATGTTTCCATGCTTTAAAAGTACTATAAGGATCCATCACATGTGTTAGATTTCAACTCGGTGAGTTGGACAAGGATTTGACTTATTACAAGGATCTGGTGGCCATTTTGGATAGGCAAGTTCGGAAGCTGAGGTCGAAGAATATTGCATCGGTGAAGGTTTAGTGGAGAGGCCAACTAATCGAGGAGGCGACTTGGGAGACTGAGCAAGATATGCGAAGCAGATATCCTCACCTTTTTGATATCCTAGTTATGATTCTCAACTCATTCAAGGACGAACGTATGCTTAAAATGGGGAGAATGCAACAACTCGGCTGCTCGTTTGTGTATTTCAGCCTCGTTTCCCTATTTGATGCTCCCATATGTGTATTTGTTGGTAGTGACTTGAAGGGACACTTGGTTGGTTTCGGGAAGGTTTTGGAGTAAATTGGAATACTTAGATCCATGGTTGGATGCTTAAGTTATAAAAGTTGACCGAGGGTTGACTTTGGTGTTAACGACCTCGGATTGGTCATTTTATGGTTCCACTAGGTTCGTATGGTAATTTTGAATATGCGCATGTTTGGAATTGAATTTGGAGTTTTTTAGGTGGATTTGACTCTAATTGGCAAAAGTTGAAAATTTGAAGGTTTGGAAGGTTCATAGGTTTGACGGGGAGTAAACTTTGAGGCTATTGGGGTTAATTGTCGTTACGAAAGTTGGAATAGGTCCTCATGTCATTTAGAACTTGTGTGCAAAATTTGGGATTATTCCTAGTTGGTTAGACGTATTTCGACATGAGTTTTGAAAGTTGGAAGTTGATTAGTTTATAAAGTTTGAATTGACGTGCGATTCGTAGTTTTTATGTTACTATGTATGATTTAAGAACTCGAGTAGGTTTGTGTTATCTTTTAGGAGTGGTTGGTATGATTGAAAAGGGTCCCCAGAGGCTCGAATGTGTTTTGGATGGGATTCAGAGCCTTTGGGTATACTATTGACAGGTCTGGTTCTAGTGCATCGCACCTACGAAGATAAGGTGCGCAGGTGCTACATCACACCTACAAGGAAGGGGAGCGCAGATGCAAAGTGGATCTGGTTGGGGTAGTGGATGCATTTGCGATGTTTAGCCGCTTCTGCGAGGGCCTCTTTTGCGAGCAAGGTCCGCAGATGCGAATGCCTCTTTTGCGAAGAAGTTCTGCATCTGCGTAATTTGGTCGGTAGAGAGTTGGGCGTAGATGCGCTGTTTTTGTCTGCATTACTCGCAGATGCAAAGAAAGCTTGGCAAAGTACTTTAATCGAGGGTTTGGCTTATTTTATTATAGTTTGAGATTGGGAGCTTGGATTGGGGCAATGTTTTAAGCGATTTTTACCACTTGGATTGGGGTAAGTGTTCTGGACTTAGATTTTATTTTATTTCATGATTCCATCTTTGATTTTGGGTTTTGGTTGATTAAATCTAACGGAGAAAATTGTGGTTTTGTGGAAGATTTTGGAGAATGATTTAATGGATATTTGAACCCTGACTCATAGCGGGTTTGGATGAAACTTGTATATTTGAACTCGAGTTTGAATTGGTAATCGGGATTTGCGACTTTTGTCGAGTTCTGAAAGGCGGACCCCGATTTACTTTTTGGTTGACTTTTGCAATTTCATAATGATAGGAGCTTTATTTTTTGGAATCGATTTCTATAATCGTGTTTGATGTTATTGAGTTGTTTTTTACTTTATTCGAGCTGTTTGGAGGTCGATTCGCGTGAGAAGGGCTTTTTGGAGTATTAATTCACGCGCTTTGAGTAAGTAACTTGTCTAAACTTGGTTTGATGGTAATTTCCCTGTAGGCTGTGATATATAAGATATATTGGGGGTGACTCACGTGCTAGGTGACGGGCGTATATACGTATATCGGGGTTATTCATGATCCGGGTAGACTTTAGGCTATTATGTGCCTTGTTTAGCTATCATGCTCCTTTACTTCCGTATTTTCTCTACATGTGTGACTACTTGAGCTATTATTCATACTAGAAATAATGTCTCAGCTATGTGCTTATCTAATTGAAATATGATAAGGATATTCTTTCCATATTGAGATATTTGCGTTAATCGTAGTCATACTCTCAGACATGATATTGCATCCGCGTAGTATATCTCTGTCTTTATGCATTCCTTATATGTTATCTCACATGTTGTTGATGCCCTTATATGTGAGACGCGACTTGGGTTGAGTACAGTGATATGTGAATATTTGAGACTTGAGCATTGATGAGTGAGCTTGGGCCATACAACCAATTTGGTATTGATTATGAGGCGATGCATACGCAGGCCCCACATTGGGCTAAGTGGTATTGATTATGAGATGACGTGTGCCTAAGCCCCATATTGGTCTAAGTGATATTGATCGTTGACTTAGACTCGACCAGCGCTTGGGTGAGGACCCGCCCCTTTAGAGTCAGGTATTAACTGTGGGCGCATGCACAAGGTCATATATGTGTTTGGGTGAGGGACTTATGTCAGGCACCCATATAGTGCTGAGTGTTGTTGTGTGTGATGGTTGAAGGGAAATTGTTCCAGGAACTATACATGTACTGAGATTTGATATACTCGATTATTTAACTAAAGTACTGTTGATTCTGGCATGTTTACTTGTCATGCAGGTACCAGGTTGTGATTCTTCCCTCATGTTTATTGGTACTAGATATCCTTATTTAATGTGTGGACTTGGAATCGCTGTTAAATTGATAAAATCAGGTCTAGATGAATTTTGTGAAAGAATTTATACCTTAACAACTATTCTTGAGAAGCATGCTTATTTTCCTGCTATTTGTGAAAAGGTTGAATTTAATATTGCTTGAACTACTTTTCTTTACCTTTATTATTTTATTATTATTGTTATTGGTATTGGATATTGGACCTTGTCGAGCCCGTCAGTGCTCTCAGCCCGAGGTTAGGCTTGTTACTTATCCAGTACATGGGGTTGGTTGGACTCATACTATACTTTATACTTTATGTGCAGATCTAGGTCTTGCCGAGAAGGTGATTGTTAGCTGGAGCCACCAGTATCAATTCTTGGAGATTCGAGGTAGTTGATGATTCCATTCACAGGCCTTGGAGTCCCCTTCTGCTTTCTTTATGTTATCATTGTTTTATCTTTTAGATTGTTCTGTAGTTTGGATTAGATTCTACATTTAAACACTTTAGTGCTCATGTGTTTGTTGACACTAGATCATGTGATGGTTTGAGTTGTATTATTGCTATTGGCTTCCGTTATTCATGATTATTTCATTGTTGAGACTATCTATTTCTGTTATTTAAGTGTGTACCTGCTTATTAAATATTGGCTTGCCTAGCAAGTGCAATTAGGCGCAGTCACGACTTTGGTGGGATTTGGAGTTGTGACACCCGGGGGCCTCGAGCGTGATTCAGGGTGGTTTGCAATAATTTTTGATGCGTTTGGA